CTTATTCTTTAAATAATAATAATAATTATAATAATAATTATTATTATACTAATATTATATATATTGCATATGTAATTAGGTAAATATTTTTTTGGTGGATTGTGGATTTCCTAATCGACGCCAATTTTTAGCTCCATTTCGAGGTGTAAGATATCATCTACAAGATTTTACAGGTCAGGGTAATGACCCTGAAAATGAGAAAGAATTGTTCAATCTTCGTCATGCGTCTTTAAGGAATGTGATCGAGAAAATATTTGGTATTTTTAAATCAAGGTTCATAATTTTTAAGTCAGCACCTCCATTTTTATTTAAGACACAAGTAGAATTTGTGTTAGTATGTGCAGCACTACATAACTTTCTACGTAAAGAATGTCGTTTTGATGAATTTTCAATTGAAGCGGTAGATGAACCTTCATCTTCAACGTTACCAGTTAATGAAGATCATACTTTTAAACCTATTATTCAAACCCAGGAGCAAGAGCGAAAAGGCGCTAATGTTTGGAGGACTAGTATAACTATGGATATGTGGGTGAATGTTATTTAAGAGGATAAGATATTATGGAGAATTATTATTATTATTATTTATCTAGACATTATTATTTTTTATTATTTTTATCTTTAACTCTTTTTAAATTTGAATGTATGAAATTTTTTTTGAAATCTTATCATATGTCAAAAATCCACGAAAATTTTACAAAATCTCACAGAATCCATTAAAATCCTGATTTAAAAGTCTTGCAGAATCCATTAAAATTCTGATTTTAAGTCTTGTAGAATCCTGCAAAATCTTAAAAATCATGAAAATCCTGCAAAGTCTTTTAAAATCCGTAGGACTTTTTTTAACTAAAAAAATCCTTTAAAATCCTAATCCAAGACACCCTTAAATGAGTTGCTTCCATCAGAGATACCCTTATAGAGTGGAGTTTTAAAAAAAATAGAATAATTTTTTTTTATAATTTATAAAAGAATATTTATAAGCATAGTTTTAAAACACGGACCGGTCATCGAACCGGTTAAGGTACTGGGTCAGTGGGTCAAAGGTTGAACCGGTGGGTCACTAGTTGAACCGCATGATTCGATTTTTATTTATTTTTATTAAAAAGCATTCATATTAAATATATTTTATACTTATAAATTTTAATAAATTCATATCTTATTTTAAATTTCAATTTTTCTATCTTATTTAAAATTATTTTTATTTTTATTTTGTAAAAAAATACATAAAAAAATTACATGTTAAACGGTATATTAATACAAATTAAAAATATAAATAATATGTACATATATAATATGCTTGCAATTAATATCACAAAATAATATATGTAATATTTACATAGATATTGCATTATTAAATATATAATTTAAAATTAATAATATACTATAAAAGTTATTTAAGTTGTATATATTGCAAACAAATATATTAGAACAAGTAGTCATTGTTATATTTAATAAGACTCCTTGCTTTTTCATTAAGAGATTCAATTTTCATTATTATTTTTGTGATTTATGGTCCCTTAAAAAAATAAAAAAATAAAAAATAAGTGGTTGAACCGGTTTGACCCACCGGTTCACCGGTTGAACCGGAAAATTGACCGGTTCAATCCGGTTTGAAACGGGTCAACTGCATAACCGATCTAACTTCAGATTCGGACCGGCTGGACCACTGGTTCCCGGTCCAACCGGTTCGACCAGCCGGGTCGGTCCGGGTTTTAAAACACTAATTATAAGGATAAAATTGAAACTATAAATATCAAATGAGATGATTTTATTTATTAATAGTACAAATTATTATTATTATTATTATTAGTATGAAATATGTATATATATATATATATATACATGATATAAAGAAAATAAAAATATTTGATAAAAAGTATATAAATGTAAATATTAAATTATAAAAATTTATATTTAATTTTTTGTTATAAATTTATTTTCATGGTTTATATATATTTGAAAAATTATCTCCTAAAAAAATTCGAAAAATTATGTTACTATTAACTTTATGATAATTCTTTTTAATTAATACTTTCCTCTAGGATAAATAAGAATAAGATTAAATATGCTTTAACTTCATTCAAATCTTAAACCAAATCAATTGAATCATAAATAATAAAAGGAAATAATTGAATATGATAACTTTTCTTTTTAAACCTGATCGATCCAATCCAATTCCGAAAGTATCAACCCTAATGTGAACCAATAAGCTTCCAAAACCGTCACTGACGTTTCATCTTTCTTCGCCTTTAAATTAGTAACTACTCTATTTCGTAATTATCGCAAGGTAAGTTACTCTATGCGAATTCTCGCTCCTTTATTCATAGAAAATTCTCCTTTATTCATGGAAATTATTGTTTGTTTTTTCAGTGCTCAAGTTGAAGGTGACAAATATCACAAGACATAAAATGATTGAGAAATATACATGGAGGATTAAGAACATCTCTAAATTGAACTCCAAGAGTGTGTACTCGGAGAGTTTTTTCCTCAATGACCACCACTGGTGATTGATTCAATTGTTTTGTATTAAGTGTGTTTGGATAGCCATCAGAATCAATTTTAATTCCAAAAATATTGTAAAAAATAAATTGAAAAAGTGGAAGCAACTTTTTGTTGTTTGTGCTGGAATTGAAATTGAGTCTAGAAGAATCGAACGTAATCCAAGCATGCACATGCACATTATATATGCTGCTCTTTCAAGTTTCACGTACGTGATTTCTATCTAATTTTGATTCAGTTTTGTAACTTCCTTTTTCAGGCAGCTTCTTATTTATCCAAAGGGAAACAATGTGGACTACTTCTCAATTTATTTGGAAGCTTTTGCTGGTTTTTATCCTGTTACCTGGAACAAAGATGTAAATATCAAGTTTAGTTTAGTTAATCAGGTCAACAACAAAATGACTAAAACAAAAGGTACTTTTCACACTTCTCTCTTTTCAAATTCAGCCTTTGGCTATATATTTCATTCCCAAATACAACTTGTGTTTCCTAGATATGCTTTGGATGGGTTTAACGTGTCAGGTAGATGAACTATGATAGTTAACTAGCAAGTGTGGGTAAATTATTTTTAACTTATTAATCTCTTTCTGTAACTCTGATTAGTATACATTACTTCCCAAATTCTTGTTATAAGAAATAAATGATAGAAATGTGTAAATCAAAAGTCTTTTTTTATGAAAAAGAACAGAAATAGTATTATTTAAGATTGTTTGTCAGAAATGTGCAGATAAAAATCATTATCTTAAAAGTTATACAAATATGATAAGATTTTTACTAGATTTTAATAGATTGGGTAAAACTGCAAGAGTTTTCACTCTCCTCTTTCAATATATTTTATACCAAAAATTATTAGTTCGAGTTGTTCAGCATTTATGCTCGATTTTTAATCAAGAATTAAGATTTAATCCTGATTTAGACATAAAATTGTTACCGAATACCACTTTATCTAATAGAGAAGAGTTATACCTTTTTATATTACAAAAACAAAATTATCCTAAGTGAATGCATAGGTGTGATGTTTATATCCCAATGTTTTTCCCATTATTAAGAGTCTTTGAAGATGGATGGACCCTCCTTGTGTAATGATTGATAACTTGTTGATCGTAACTTTGTATCCATTTGATAATCATATAATTTCAATTTTATTTTTAGTCAAACTAACTCATGTTATATGAATTTGGTAGAAACTCAACACAAGTTCAGTGGTGGAAAGGATTATGACTGGGGTTTCACATCATTCATACCGTTAAATAAATTTTATGATGCTAGCATTGGATTTATTGTGAATGATACTTGTGTAATTGAAGTTGAGATTTCAGACAACAAGCCTGAACATTTGAATCAAGTAGTTCAATCAATTTGCAAGGTTGATAACAAGCCTCTTGAACACACAGCTGGTCCTTTAGCCAAGGAAATGTTCACAACATCACTTGATGAGCTAGTGGATTTCAAGGGTTTAGGGAAAATAGAGAAAGCTTTTGTTCCACTGCTAGAAGAAGTATGTTCACAACATTCCTCACTAATTGATAGTCAACGGAAGAGAACTGTTATGTTTAGTGAATATGCATTCAGAGCTTTGGGTCGAGTTTTACATTTTCTTAAGACTAACAAGGTAAAAGATATGGATGGTGATGCTTGTAATAATCTCCAAAATTTATGGGATGAACTTGAGGCATTTGGATTTGATTTGACTTGGTTGAAACCCCATGTTCAATCTGCCTTGCATATGAAACAACATTTTAAGAAAGCTGTTCAAGTGAAAAGGAAGTTGGAGGAGAATATGGCTGCTTTAGAGATTGAAGCAGAGAAATTGAAGGCAAAGATAACAGAGATAGAGGTACAGCTTGAAATATCAAGTAAAGTATTGGTGAAAGCTGTGGAAGCCATTGAAGTGTGCAATTTGGATGTTGAACTAGGATATGGAATTGGAGCACCATAATTATGTCAGCTATTAGTATAGGTAATTCATAAATTTTGATGAACTATTTTTTTTAACAATTGGATGTTCGGCTAGACATCAATGATTTTTTTTATCTCAAATTTATTTTGAATTATATAATCCCATTTGATGCATTATAGTTTCTGCCAATATAACTTCTGCATGTCTTTACGATGATGATACAACTGGTTAGGTCTTTTTATTTATATTAGTTAGGACTTGAAATCAAATTTGACTTTTTTTATATTTCTAATTTCATATCTCTCCATGTGAATATGTGTTAAAGATAGAATAAACTATTCGTAATCCCATTGAAAATTCTTAATGAAAATGATAGTTGATCCTGACTCATAATGTTATATAAAATTATATTTTATCTTAATCTAAACTTTGTTAGTACCAGAATATAACTTCTCCATGATTTAAAACAAAGTCTCTTAGAAGTTATTCATATTTCCTTACCAACTCTAGTATAATGTTTAGCAAGACATCCATGTAAATTTTTAGAGAGTATTCGACTGCCATTTAGTAGGATGAATGACATAGTGGATGCAGAGAAATTCGATTGTCTAACATAGTTGCTCAATATATTATTGTACACTTCTAACCTTTTAGAGATTTATCAATAACAATATATATATAAAAGAAATACCTTCAACTCCAATCGTTTTTTTTTCACTTTATTCATACCATTTTACCCTTAAATGTCCATATCTTCACACTCATATTTACCAACTTTTCTTTTATTTTTTAATTTAAATAAAAACACACATAGGCACAAAGTGACCCTTTTCTGAAAATGATATTAGAACGTTCTGCAATTGATGGACGGCATTGTAGTGCAACATTAAAATCAATAAAACTTTATTCAATTCACCCCAGGCTTTACTCTCTGCCACGGCCAAATATTAGCTTTTTATTATTTCCTAATAAATATTTTAAAGTTGGTTTGCGATTGTCAGTAACTCTGAATGGAGTTAATTTTACTTCATATTTCTATATTTTATTTAATAAAAATATTTAAAATTGCTGATGTTTGTTACATCAACTAGTATTATTTTTAATATTCAAATTTCAAAATTTTGAATTCAACTCTTGTATTTATAATAATAATTAATTTTTAATATTATTTTATATTATTTAAAAATTTAAGAATGAAATATTTAAAAAATATATATTTTTTAAATCAGACTATTATCTTTATATATGTTAATAGAAATGTTATAAATATAGAATAATGATAATGAATTTATTTATTTATTTGTTATGATCACGAGGCATAGTTTTGATTTTAACTTTTATTCATAAAAGCAAAAGCAAATCCTTAAATCGACATGGTGGATGTAGAGAAATTTGATTGTCTAACTAGTTGCTCAGTAAGTTATACGCCTATCCTAAGTAGGGAAAGGTTATATAATCAGTAACGCTATAGGAATGCTTTGCAATTGTTGGAAGGCAATGCAGTGCAACAATAAAATTGATAAATCTTTATTCAATTCACCTATCATTTTACTCTTTGCCTAATATTAGGGTTTTTTTTTTTAATAGAACACATGTGTAGTCTTTAGTATAGATACAATCTTATTCGAGACCCATAAGACTACTATAGTTTCAAATTTAAAATATTTGATAAAGATGAAATAATCTTGTTCATTAGTTCATTCATGTGTTCTCCGTGGTAATTATTAACCATCTATTCTTTCCCAATAAAAAAAATGATATCTTACATCCGTTTTGTGGTTGCCAGTAACTTCTTATGTCTTTTATTTTATTATTTCTTATTAAAAAAAACTCAATTAAAAAAATATTATATAACAATTAAAAAAAGAGAGAAATTTTGCGTCTATTTGATTTTTAAGAATGAATAAAAATTATAACATTGTCGTTTTCATATATTCTTTGTCTGAATATATAGCTTTTATCTTAGGTTCCATGTTGTGTTGTTAGTTGTTTGAAGGGAAATTTAGGAATTAGAGAACTCTAGAGTTAAGTTATAAACTCAGTTTAAGAATGGGTTGAAGTTAGTTATGAGAAGGTTGGGGTATAAACAGGTAAATAAAAATTGGATCTTCATAAATTATTCTTTCAAGTTTCTAGAGAGATGGATATGCTATAGAGAGGAGCTATGAGATTTAGGAAGGCTCTTTCTCCATCTAATCTCTTTGTATGTTGTCTGTGGAAAATACAAGTTAATAATAAAAGAACTCTATCAATAAATCATAAAGACACCATATCTTAACTAAATATATAAGACATCTGATTCATGAGTATCGTTTGGCCAACATGATAACGTTGAGTCTGGCCATTTCTTGTCATTTTCCATTCCATAATTTTTCAGATTGTGTAGATTGTAAACTTTTGTTAATCTTTTAATATCTGTGATCCTATCTTTGAATATATAATGCATTGTAAGCATGAGAGTTTATTTGGTGTGTATTAATTAAAGAATTTAATTTACATACACCGCTATCGAAGAAAATTTTACGCCTAAACTTTCCTTTTAAAATCATCTTTCGCTTCTATACAAAAAATGAAAATTGAACTGCTAAACATTTTCACTTTTGTTATTACTTAAATTAAGATTTCATTTTAATTTTTTTATAATCTATTTTCATTGTTGAATTTTATAATCTATTTTCATTGATGAAGGAGCATCAAGAGTATGAGTTACACGCATATTTACCAGCCATAACCATTCTTAATCTACAAATATTCAAATTTTCACAAATATAACAAGAAAATCTAGCTCAATTAGTTAGGCGGATAAATTGTTATAAATCTCTTGATACCAAATTCAATTTCGATAGATTAAGAAAATTGTCACAAATAGGTCCAACATAACAACCTCAATATGATCATAGTTACCCATATTTCTTCTAGGATCAAGGGACCAATTTGAGGTTCAAATGCCCCACTGAAAGTCGGGATCATATGGTGCTCCTTATGCCCAAAAGTACATAATCTAATCCTCCAACTCACCCTCACGCTAAGCTAAGGCCAAAACGGAGAAGTTCGTTTAACCCCAACTAAAAACAAACAAGCCAAAGCTCTTTTACCGTAAAGTACAGTTGTACACTAGTACATTTACATGTAAAATGGACCTAAGTACTCATTATACTCTTGGCGCAAAAAAGAAACCGATATTTACAGGTCCACCGTTAAATAAAACAAAGATTTCCATCTTTTCCACTAGTTTTAGGCCAATTCCCCTCTTAGTGCTAAAGCTGCTCTTTGAATAGCCCTGGCAACCCTCCAGATCTCATGCTGAATTGCCGCCAACCTTTCTTTTTCACTCATTTTAGCCATTGCAGACATAGAATCAGCAATTCCAGGGAAGAAATCCAACTTGCTTTCATGGTCACTAGAAGGTCCAAAAACCTGTACAGGTAAACAGAAACTGTCGGGTTCTCTTCGATTCAAAGCATATTTAATGGATTCATAACTCACAGTGATGACTAAAACAAACTATTCACCACATGAAATGATGAAACATAAGCATAAGCTGGGAATCTCTAGTGTCTAGTTATTGCGTTTCAACATACAACTTGCATATTAAGAGTATCAAATATTCAACTCTCTATAATGTCAATAAGATCTGTTGAAAATCCTATATTGACTAGTGATATGATCAAAATAATGTATATAAAGTGGGGAGCAATCCTCTACTACAATATAGCATCAAATACTATGCTAAAGAGCAACAATGCACCACATGACATGTTGCTAATTCTACTTCTACCAATTTCATTAATCACCCTTTTCTTCCATTTGTATTTCACGAAACTAAGTTTGATTGAGCAAGTAATAACTTATAAAATTGAGATACAGTGAGGAGATATGGTGTAATATAATCACCATGTCTACAGCAAAATTTTCAGTTTCAAAATGACAATGGAAGTTTTCCACAATGCCATTGGACTTTGTTGTGTCATAAGAGGCATGATATTAGTCAAATTGGTTAGTGAAAAGTTTTAACCGTCGCTTCAAAGACATAGAAGGTAAATACACTCACAAGATGCTTGAACCATTGCCTTCCTCGAAGCCCATCAACATCCAAGAAGCCTTTTTCCGCAAGCATTAGTTTATCATTAAATGCTCGCATTTTCATATCTAAAGAACTATCTGGAGTTTCTTGCAATCTCAGTTTCTGCAGTTCAAAATAAAGACAAGTAAATGAAGACATAAGTAAAAGCAGTTGAGGTAAATTTGAATAATAAATAATATTAATAGTTTAATACACAACAAGTCATTTCAGTTTTGATTTTACCTTTGATTCATCATTAGCTTCTTTGGCAGCAGAAGCAAATTCTTGAATAGACGAAGTTAGTGGATCTAGAGAAATTCGATTGTCTAAAAGGTTGCTCAGTATGTTATGGTACACCTGTCCAAAGTAGGGGGAGACTATCTAATCAGTAATGATATAGGAATGCTTTGCAATTGAAGGAAGTCATTGTGCAACATTAAAATTGATAAAATTTTGTTCAATTCACTCATTTTACTTTCTTTGCCTCAGCCAAATATTAGCTTTCTATTCTTCCCTAATAAAAAACTAAATTAAATTCGGTTTGGGATTGGTAGTAACTTAAATATCAGCCAATTGATGGATGTCATTTGTTTTATTAATATTAATAATAATGTTAACAGCATTATGGTTTGATCATCTGAGTCTAGCTCAACGGATTAGGAATAGTAGAGGTCCTAGGTTCAAGTTGTGGAAACAACTTTCAGGTGTACTCAAGAAATTATTAAGACACTGAATTTACTAATTCACTAATTTATGAAATCTAATAATTTAATGATACAATAGATATAAAACAAAATAATAAATACCATTAACTTAAATTGTTGTAAATGTATTTTTACCTATCCCAACTCATAATTAATGTAGTTTAACAATTAACTCTGACTAAAATTTCATGGCTGATTTTTTTTTCTATGGATATAATCCATGCAGTATTCTAAAACTCGTAATTAAAAACTAATATATGAGACATGACTTCTGTTGATCAAACATTATTTTAACACATGGGAATCCAACATGCGACTACAAGGACACTGGCTGGGTTGAGATAATCAACTTCTAATATCAAAAGACAGTACTTAGCGACAAGTTAATTAAAATACAAATGAAGATAAAAGCGTACTTGTAACTGATCCGCATAGGAAAGATAATTGAAAGGTAAAATGGAATCATCAGCAAGGCGAAGGGCTAGAAGCCCCCAAATTCCAGTAACTAATACAACAAACAAAAAAGATATATCATCTTATGACTGAACGCATGGATTAACATTTTATTGGCCAATAAAATAATCATTTCAAAATTCTTGTTGAACGAGAAATCTAACCAGCTACATGGCGCTGAAAGAAAGGATCACCAAACTCTGTCATCCAGCTGTAAGAGTCGAAAGCAGTATGATAGACAGGATAATCTTGAAAAAAGAAATACATTATTTCACACCCAAGGCCATGGATAAATGAAAGATTATGGACATTGACATGTAGAAGCATTTCCTGATACAAATTTTTTTTTATTTTTGTAGTGTAAAAAATTCTATGGTTAAACATTATACATACAAACCCTTTTAGTTCTGGCTCCTAGGTACAAGTCCTATGATAGGATTATAGGACCAAATGATAGCCAGAAACACAAGGATCATTGCAATGCTGAGGCATATCTTTTATATATATATATATATAACTAATATGACAGAGCTCTATGACTGCAGATCTAACGGCCAATAAACCATGAATATTAAACCTTTATCAATTTCAAATTCCGGAATACCCTCTTAAATGCCCCAAAAGTACATTAATAAAATAAAATCGAGTGGCACAACTAGAGAAAATGCATACATATGGAATATTTGATACAATGGCACGACTTTTTCACAAATCATATGAAACCCTTTTAATTCATACCATTATCAATGTGGTATGTGCCTCTCAAAAAAAAAAAAATATTCAACGCGGTCAAGTATGTACCTTTTCCAAAATATAAATCAATTGATGGAATCCCTGCATGTTGCACAAATGGAGCAAAATCGGAATCAACTCTACCGAGCCTTTGAATCTGCAATCAACCAATATAAAAACTGCTAAGCAACAAACTTATGATTTTTCATCGCCATTAATTTACTGTGAAAAATAAATTGAATTATTTTTTTTGGTACTTCCAAATTTGTTTTCCTTAGCAAAAAAAAAAAAAAAAACTGTCACCAGTGAGAAGCAAAAGGGAAAACAATAAATATGAATCTATCAATACTCCAAAGGCATCTAGACAATAAAGTTAATCACTGAAATCAACTTTGTTGAAAAATAGACAACAGGGAAGATGTTTGAAACAGTTGTAGGTGAAATAGTAGTTAAGGACAACTAAAGAGAACTTCATATATTTAACAATGACCATTGACCAGTAGACTAAAAGTCCTACATTAGAGTTTCCACCAGCAGCCACCCAATTATCATATATTGTTGTACCCTCAGAGTCAGGATCCTTGACCTGAAATGAACATATATGGCAATTGATGTAAATCATAAATCAAATTCAAATACCAAGATCAATTATATTTAAAACAATATCCACATGCAGATTTGCACATGCACGTAGAATTACTTCAAATACCTTTTTAATGACCTCGAGGAGGAGATCGTCTAGCTGAGGAGTTGAGCCTGCAAAGAAACCTTGGCCTTGAACAGCACAATCCACATTAAGGTATGCTACAGCTTTGGAACCAAGATTAACAAGGTTTTGTTCAACCCACTCAGTGGATCCAATCTACATAAATGGATAAACTTCAGTTAGAGAGCACATTACTAGAATTGACACCATAATTGAAATAAAGCAAACTGATCTAACTTGATAAAACTCTAATCCATGTGGAAAAGACTTAATCAAGACGATGGATAAATTTAGGTAAATAAGACAAATCTTAGTAGAGTTTCACTTTCATCACTCCACATATCTCAACAGTTATTTGTCACTGATTCACTGACTTATCAAATCCAGTGGCCACATAATGAAAGTGGTTAATGATGATGCACACAAGATTAGTTGAGCTACCTACCATTCCAAATTCCTCTGCATCCCAACTGCATAGAATGATGGTCCTCCGTGGATTCCACCCCAAACGCAATAGAATAGAATATCTACGAGCAATGTCAAGTAGGGCAGCTGTCCCACTGTTGGGGTCAACAGCACCATATGTCCATGCATCTCTATGATTCCCAAGAAGAACATAACGATCAGATTCTTCACGTCCCTTGATAATGGCAAAAATGTTTTCAACGGTAGCCATCTTCAATTCACCCTGAAAAAACCAAACAAGGCTGAGTGAAAACATGCACAGAAAACATATACCATAGTTAATGAATAATGACAGTAGTACTACATTAATATCAGAGTTGTAAAGATTGATAAGCATAAAAAACTTAAATATATTTTAATAATTAAAATACCACGAAACATACCACCAACAGACATGAACAATAATTTAGATACCAAAACCAAATCCGGGATCTTTATAAAAGCTGACGCTAATCCTATTTGAACTTATAGCTAATTTGAATAAACTTTTAGTAACAAAATCAGTTGTTTCTAACTCATTTCAAAAGATTTCATGATTAAATTTAAGCATTAAATTTCGTGTTACAAGAGTTTCTCAAATTGTTTACCTAGACACACGTTAGATATGGTCAAATCCGGACATCTCCTAAACTTGCAATCATCAAAAACAATATATACTATATAGGTTCAAAGCCGTATTCCATTTTTCCCTTTTCCCTATTCCGATTTTTAGAGTTTAATTTTATGTTTTTAAGCAAACATTGAATGAGACTTGGCCATTTTAGATGATAAGGCAAATTTCTATTAAAAAATAAGGCGAAGGAAAAAAATTATATATGTATCAAAAAAATAAGGCAAAATTCTATTTATTTTGATGTAAAAATTTATACTAACTATATATAAAAATTGATCTCTTTTTTACTAATGATATAAATACAAACTATAATTTAATTACGATCTACTACCTCATCCAATAATAAATTGTTGTGCAATCATAAAATTATCTAATTCTGTAATAATTGTCTTAAAAGATATATTTAATGTGATTTTTAATTAGTTGATGATATATAAAAAAAAATCTATTAACTCATCGATCAATAAAAACCCATTATACATATAAATTTTAAAAAAACTGGTAAAAATTATCAAACTTACCATTCATGACAATTTGTAATTAAATAAACAAAATTACATTATCAATGCATGTCATTCACTATTTTATTTATTTATTTATTGTCAAATAAAACACTATTTAGTATTCACTCGATGTAAAAAAAACAAAGCATTTACTCATAAAAATCTTTTCAGTGAGATTATGAAAATTAATCTTTACAAACAAAAGATGAGCATTGCTAACAACACTCCCCTACTCTATAGCATACCTTTTTAACGCACATTTTACTATCAGTTAAAATTTATTAAAAGAGAATTGGTACCAAAACATTCTTTAACCTTTTTTTTTTAATACATTTTGTTTTATTATTAAAATCAATTGAAAGATATTAAATCACAAAATTCATTGAGTGCATGCATGTTTGCTTTCGGTCCATATCATACACCACATCCACCCAAAAAATCACGTTAAACAATTTAAAAAACGCAAAAAGAATAATATCTTGCTTATACAAATATGGATTGAGATTAACATGATGCTAAAACAAACATGCAAACGGAAGCTATAATGGTTTGCTTATGCAAAATGTGAACTGAGACCAACGTGAGCTAAAACAAACATGCACCAGAAAAATCACGTCAAATAATTAAAAGTATGAGTTGTTTATGCAAGATGAGGTAGTATGATGGTAAAAGAAAGATGGAGTAAAAAAGAAGTGAAATGGATGAATTGATGTGATTAAAGGAGAAGAAAGAAGGAAAGAGAACCTGATAAGTAAAGTTGAGGAAGGTGGGGCCAGGGCCAACATGGGAAACCAAGGAGGACTTAAGGGTAGGCCGCCAATGGAAGGGCAAGGGAGCACCTCCAAGCGAGAGCAAGAGGGACTCAGCAGCCTCAGAAGACAAGGGCATGGAGGGAATTTTGGGAAACCTTTTCAAAACCTCACTATCATCCAAACCCAACCTCTCACCCCCTTCAACCGCACCCCACCCAGGACTCAGCGGGTCCCCAATGCCACCCCTCATCACGTGACCCCTCTCAAACCCCTCGCGCCACGTGTCACCCTCCCCG